CCTGACTTTTGCATCCTCTGTTGCTCCAGGTGAACAGAGACTAATTGTTGTGTCTTGGATGGCTGTTTGCAACCTTTTAAGATGCCAGGCACCAAGCCATGAACTAGGAGGTAGAACAGAAGCACTAAATACGTTGTTAGCCCAACTAACTGAGATGTCCCATGAAACCATGACTCTAAACATTCGTACAAAGGAACCAAGTCCTTGAAGTTTTTCTTGTGCATAAGCAGCCTCAGCAGCTGCTCTTCTTGTTCTGAATATCTGTATCACACAGCTTTAGCACTTGAGCTTTTTCACAGGTGTACAACTTACTGACAGCAATTACAATAATCAGCTGTGCAGCCTACCCATAATCAACGTCCTGTTTCTATCCCTGTTAACCCCTCTTTTCCCCTCCCTCCGGTGCCTGGTAACCACTCATAAACTTGGGTCTCTGCATATTTGCCTTTTCTTGTCTTTTTGTATAAGTGAGATCACGTAGCATAATACCCTGACACTCCATCCGGACATGGATCAAGCATGGATCAAGACTTCATTGCTCCTACTGGCTGGGCAGTAGTCCATCGTACGTATGCCCCACCTTTTGTTTACCCATCCTTCTGTTGGTGGACACTTAGGTGGTTCCCACCTTTTGGCTCTTGTGAATCATGTTGCAGTGAACATTGATGTACAAGGTCCCTAATTTTTAAATAAAGGCATGATCAGTGTGCATTGGGATTCACGTATTCTCACTCTGTTACCGAAATGAGACAGTGTTCTTCAGGAGATGTTTCCAAGGACACGTGTATGAAAATAACCTGCGAAACCATTCGTTCTGGATGGTACATTTATTCTTCATGTTTGTGCCAGTGTATCAGTGTGGAGTTACTTTGTTTTCTTCAACAAGAAGAAATTGCTTCCTTCTTGGTATAAATGTATCCCAATGTATTTTTTTTTTAACAATTTATTTTTGTCAATGGTGCAAAACATACACCCATTCAACAGTTTCTAGATGTACAATTCAATGACTGATGACATTCTTCGAGTTGTGCATCCATTTTCACCCTCATATTCCAAGTTGTTCCTCCCCCATTAATGTGAGTTCACTGTCCCCTAAGGTTCCTGACTAATCTTTCAAGTTGCTGTGGTCAGCTTGATCTCATAAGATCGATCTTAAAAGACCACAATACTCAAGGTAGGCAGTCTTTGCCAGTTAAACTAAACTTTGTTTTTCATAAAGGTTTTTGAACATGGAAAAAAAATGCCTGCTATGTATTCTAGCTACTGGACATACAAAATGTGAGTAAGAAATTGTTCCTCCTTTCAACAGACTCACAGCTTGGTGAGGGAGATTCAGAAGGAAAATTATCCAATGAGATGGCAATACAGTAACAGCGAGTTTCTGTGTGTGGGGAGGGTTTTCAGTTGTAAGTGGCAGTCCCCAACTCTGGTTAATTTAAGCAGAAAGGAAGTTTTCAAAGGAAAGTAGATAGCTCATTGACTCCTTGGGAGGGCCAGAAAGCCAGTCTAAAGTCTTTGAAGCCTCAAAACAATGTTTGGTATCACACTACAGTATCGCTGGCCCCTGCTACTAGAACCACCACCAGGGCTACCTCTGGAAAATGACTATGACTATCACTACCTGTTTTGTTTACCTAGTGCCGCTCTGACAAGAATATATCAGCAATGGATGGCTTGAACAAACAGGAGTTTATTCTCTTACAGTCTGAAGGCTTTAAGTCCAAGTTCAAAGTGCCTGGCTCTAGGGGCTGGGTGAAAGCCCCTCAACCTTGGGCTTCAGCTCTGCCTCCTACTCCCAGCCCACTGGAGCTAGAGCTTTTTCTTCACTCAGACAGCTGCTGGCTGCTGAGGCTGACAAGCCCAAGATTGACAAGTAAAAAGGCACAGTCCCAATGTTGCCAAACCACATGGCAGGCCATTAATTCAAGTCCATTGTAAGTCCCAAGGTCAGCAGAGCATGGCAGGCTGCTGAACAACAACACAGTTACATGCAGGGTTCAAGCGTGCCATAAGCTAGAGACCATTTCCCAAGGCTTCTCCTTATATACAGGAAGCAGACCACATCTCAAAGGCAGCTACTCAGCTACTTGTGGTAGATCCCGCCATGAGTAGTGATTGCCAGTCTCATCATGGGGAATAACTACCACCAACTGCCCAGCCACTCAACCAGGCCCTGCCAATCTTGGGTTCATCAGTCCCTGCAGCTATGTGAGTCAGCAGAA